GCATTGTCAAGTGAGATAACATGTATACAGCAATCATAACTCATAATATCACGCTGAAGAAACTACATTCTGTAATCAGCTTTATGGCCTTTTTACGTATTTATTTTATATTACTCTATGACTGCATAAGTTACCTGTGTTTTTCTTATAGTGTGACAATTAATTATACCTCCAAAATTTATGCACAGATCTATTCAAGGCAATGGGCTGTTACCAAAATTCCATATTATATCTTTGTTACTTATGCCTCCATAAAATACTTAGAATTCAAAGTTTAAAAGAAGGAAATGAAAGGCATCAATAATAAATGGGCCTTTAGCTCTATTTCAAAACCTAGATTGCCATATTCTTTGGAGCATCATGTGACAGACGTTATGCCATATTTTTGGAGTATCATGGAACTTTCAGTTTCTTATTGACAAAATTTAATTGTGACAGTCATTGTTTGTTCCATTATTAAACCAAAGCCAGGAAAGCCAGGAAATGACTTGTAGTTGTACAAAATATAATAGACATAATTATTCACGTGGTCTACTTGAGGAATCGTGAGGTATACTTTGTGATACTTTCTTTTGTGAAAAGATTATAAGTATCGCAGCTTGTTGGGCACGTCTTCATACAACGGACAGCTTTCTGAAAGACGTTCACAGATCAACTCATCATCATGCTCAAGTTCCTGATTCTCGCCTGCGTTTTTAGCGTTATTCACGGTAAGACTCCAGTACAACATTACTCTGGCATATTTACCATCCTACTGCTGATATCACTTTAATTTTTCTCCTCATCACTAGTAGCCTTTGGACAAGGCCTCGCGCGGTGCTTGTCTGCCGAGCAGGGTCTGAAAATAGACTAACGCAGTGTGGCTTTACAGCAGTGATCAGCGGCTTGGACTTTGCGGGGCTCATCATAATTATGTGCATATGAGGGTCTTATACAACAGCTAGTGATGATCGTGGCCAATCGTAATTGTTTTAACCGCGCGGTGTTTAACATGGCTTCGTCCATAAAAAATTGTGGGGATATCGGTATTCAAATGTACTAACAAATAAATAATATCTAGTTCAATTTGGAATAAAATATGAATTTATTAAAAACAATAGACTAGGGTATTCATTATTATGCTACTTCAGTAGATTTATAGTAAAATGTTGCTCCCTTTTTTTCATTTTAACCTACGCATAGACTCTAGTGGTTAGCGCGATCAGCTGGTCGGAATTGTTATTGACAACACTGGCGTGAATATCTGTGTACGTGTGAAAACGATGCGTTCATGGAGCTTTGAATTTGCAGGACTAGTTGAGCTAGCTGCATATTTATGCAAGTGAATTAAAATAATGAAAAGGACATCAGATTCTAGTAATTTTGCTTATAATATAATAGATGTGCAAAAAGGGTAGATATCTTCTATGCAGTACATTCTGCATGGTTCCTGTGCAAGAGTTTTCCTAGCTATTTCTTATAATGAAGATATCATTTTATTGTGTGTGACAAGTTTGGTTCACATTCTTTCATTAAAGAAATAAGAGGTGAAACGATAACTTCAATGGACAGCTAGTGCAGTGTGAGTAGTACCTCCCGGCCCGCCAAACTCTGGGCAGCTTCGGGACCGGGAGGAGACTCCGATGGGGATGGTGTGGTGGCAGCGACTGTGGTACGTGGTCGTCCGCACAAATAAGTCCTTGCACAGTGGAATGGCTTGAAAAATCGCAGATTTGCCATAACCGGTTGGAAGATTAACAAATACATCTTTCCCTTTCACTGCTGATTTTATAGCTTTTGATTGTAACTCCTTAAAGGTAAAGACCAGTTATGGTCATGCGATTGCATTGTGAAAGAAACGTTGTGGAATTGATCAGAAAAGGTTGATCATCTAGCATCTAGCATCTGCAAGGTTCTGGAATCATCAAAATGATAAGAAATTTGGCCCATTCTTCGTAAAGTTACACGCACTATACACAGAAAGATGTATATGGGACTACCCTATATCTCTCACAGACCATGAGAGAAAAAACTTTACCAAATATATGAATTAGTAGGCGGTTTCCAGGCAAATTTTTTATCATCATGTATTAGTCAAAACATATTCTTTCACATGATTGGTAATGAGAGCTTCCATTTAATTTTTTGAAATTGGGGCGTTTCCAATACTGGTCTTTACCTTTAAAAGATGATAATTTCAACCTTTCGGCCGCATATTCAAGGCTCTTTGATAAGAGATCTCCTTCGTCGCTCGCCATGTTCTGTAACCGCTCAAAAATTTATTTATGAATATATATGTTGATAATGAATATTCATGAAGTTTTCTCGAATCGTCTACTCTGATTGGTGCGTCGGATTGGAAGGGGCGGTTTGGCCGGCTTTCTGGGTAAGATACTTTGCATCTAATTATCTACCGATTTGGTAGCGGAAATATAACACAAAACAAAAGAAATGAACTACAACAACCACTCAGGTTAGTAAAGGCCGAGATGCTGACGCACCGGCCTCGTCCCACAGATCACAGTCGTCGCGCGATTAGTCTATGTATTCAGGCGCGTTTAGGGAAATACAGCACGAGTGCCTTGACTAAAGGCTACATCACTTGACTAAAGGCTACATCACTAGCGTAAATATTCATAATTGAATGACACACGCCCTTAAGACTAAAACAACAACAACAACTCTGATATAAGGTGTGCGCGTACCGATCAGCAAGCAGTAATTGGCGCGCTATGAAAAGTCGTGTCGCTGCAGGACCTATATTAGGTCACCTAAAGTACCAAATCAGCGCCATTTATTTGCCTTCCAAGTTACATAAATCCTCGCCGATATCGTCTATCTAGGTCGGCGACAACATTGGCTTGGGGAAAGAGACATCATTCCCAAGGTAACGTTGAATCAGTATGCCTATGGTTTCGTGGGACATCGGTCTCGCATGGTAACAATACTGCATCATGAAAATATGAAGAAAAAAAGGCGATTAATATCTTGCGTTTTAAGTGGGCCGGTCGCATTGAAATTCCACATTAAATTTTTCTACAAATTTGAGTCCCCATCCGCCCTGAATTAAGCTATTAAGCTATAGATAAACTCGTACACATGTGAGTATGCCGATATAGGCCCTATTCTGATTGACTAGGTGCATTATTTTGTGAGCACTTAAAGGTACTATGTCCCATTTACAGGTCAAAAAATGAAAAGGTTAAATTCCAACGGCATTTGAAACACATTACTTATTTAGAACTTCCCTCAAAACGAAAGGGTTTGAAAATGGCTTTTTGTTGGAAAATAACGACCATTAGTTGACGAATCGACATATGTGATTGCAATTACCTAAGTAATAGTCTGATTTTCAGACCCTTGTACAGAATGGTCGTACGTTTTGTGCTGTACAAAGATTCAATCAGTTTAAGTTTGACCATTACAAGTAGTTATTGATGTAGACAAATGCTCATGTAGCTGTTACAGCTCATTTTTATATATATGTTATTACCAAAGAAAAAAATATATCAGTCAGTCACTCAATAGTGTCTGACAGGAAAGTCTAGAAAGTAAACAGGTTTTCTTGCATAATATGAATACTAGGACACTGCTAACGTTTAAATTTCACAGATACTTAGGACATACATGACATATTCATAATTCCTGCAAAGTTCTACACAATTTGATGTTGGCTGCCAAAGGGACATAGTATCTCAGATATGACGCGTAAACCGCGACATTAAGAGTTAAAAGCACTAAACGTCCGGTTAATAATATTCTTATCATTATTTAGAAGCTAAATCAGGACGATAGTAGTTAATTAAATTTCATTTAATATAACGGCCCTCAGGCTTTTACGACAATCGAATCGCAGGAGAATCGTGTAGTGTGAGCTCATGTGTAGTACCTTTGTTGCCCGCAAGGAATTGCCATTCATTTATACCCCCTTCACATACACGGATTTTTCTTACGAGTCCTTACGGATGGCACAAATTCACGAATCTTTCACGGATCCTTACGATTTGGCCACTTTTACGACCGTTTTAAGAGTTGTTACGAGTTATTACGATATGCTCACGGTAGAATTCCACGATTTGTTACGAGTTGTTGCAGATAATTACGATCAACTAACGTGTTAGTAACGACCTGTTTACGTGTTGTTACGAATAGTTACGAGTTAGTTACGAGTATTTACGAGTCCTTACGATTTTTAACCAAAAAATAGCAACTGCAAATAAATTGTTTAAATTTGCAGCTTTTCAACCTTTCCCCCAAAACGTAAACAATACGTAAGAATACGTAAAGTATACGTATCTATTCGGAAAGCACTCGTAGCTACACGTAAAATGCTCGCAATAACTCGTAACAATCCGTAAAGCCATCGTAACAGGACCCAAATTGAATCGTAAACAACACGTCAGCACTCGTAATACTCCGTTAATAATCCGTAAATGATCTGTGAATAATTCGTAAACAAATCGTAAACTAACCGGAACAAATCGTTTACAAAATTGTTACAAGTCATTTACGGATTCTTGCGAGCAGTTTACGAATGGTTACGTGTTGTAGCGAGCGATTTACGATACTTACGGATTGTTACGAGCTATTTACGAGTTATTTACGGAAAAATAAATCCGTGGACAATCGTAAGAAGATTTTTGACACGTAAAAAAAATTGCCTCTCCTTTCTTGGATCCTTACGAGTGTCTGCGAGTTGTTGCGAGTTGTGACGAGTTATTTCCGGATACCAGCGAGTTATTTACGGATGCTTGCGATTGACTACGAGTTGGCGATCCGTATAAGGACTCGTAAGGAAAATCCATGTATGTGAATGGGGCATTACACGTTATAAAAAATAATTACCGTGGCGTTTTTTTTATGTTGTTGTTGTTATTATTATTTTTTATATGGGGGCGGTTTTGAGGCGGCATAATGTGTGAACAATCCTTTACAGTTAATTTTGTTGGAGCAATGCTTAAAATAAAATGATTATGCACTAAATTAAGTGAAATTCTCGCGCTGTTTTTTAATTCCAGCGGCTACTGAGTGCGGTCTACCGGCGATTCCACCCGTTGAAATGTCAGTTATGATTGTTGGTGGTCATACTGCCAAGCCACACAGCTGGCCCTGGATGACTGAAGTGATCAAGAATAACGGGCACTACTGTGGCGCCACCCTCATTGAAAATCAATGGCTTGTCTCTGCAGCTCATTGCTACAAAAAAAAGTAAGCGCATGCTGGCACAGGAAAAACAAACGATTACTATATATTCATATTCACATGTTGTAGCTGTATGCATAGCCTCGACTAAACGAGGATATGCTGGACATTAGGTCGGACCCTTCGTAAAAAGAAGAAATCCAAATATCGTGAAACCAAATTTCTTCAAAATTCATTTCGTCAAATAATATTCTTCCTATAGTTGTATGATGCTCATGAGCTTAGCTTCCCACATTTTGACACAGTTTGTCTCGTTAATTATTTTATCAAGTGACTTTAATGTACTGACTTTAAGCGTGGAAGACAAACCCCCCCCCCCCCCCTTTTTCAAATATTTTTTTACTACTTGTTCAGATGTGAATACAAATATAAATTCATTATAATATATACCCGATCAGCAAGTATCCGATATCTGAATACTCAAAGAAAGTTTCACCCTTATCCATTTCAGACTGAACCTTAGCATCTACGAGTTTTCCGTAGGAGGTCACAAAATAGCCGATACAGGAGAAGCGACTCGTCAGACTTTCAGAGCCCAGAAGATTATCCGTCATGAAAAGTATTTAGATGGCGGCGACAGTCACGACATTGCTCTCATCAAGCTCGATGGTCTTGTCCGATACAATGACTATGCCTCACCAGCCTGTCTAGCTGAATCCAGACCAAGTGATGGTACAGTGGCCTACGTCACTGGCTGGGGAGCTTTAGGTAGGTATTACATTATATATTGGCCCAGACTATAGCCTGTATACCTTATAGATGATTAACATGTATAATCATTTAAAAAAAATTATCCCGCATACTAAAAGCCTTGCAATTGATTGGTCTAAACGAGGTCACATGATCAATGATAGATAAGTACTATCTCCCTGCGATAGGACTTTTGTACCGTAATTTTTTGCTGCTGCCCCACTTGCCCATTGAATAAGCGTAGCAAGTAGGTTACGCGAAATGTCAAATTCAATGTCAATGTCAAATGAGCGCGCATCGACTGTATTACATGTATGCGTGTTGTGCTTTGTAAAATCTAGCTGAAGCCGTGTCTGCAGAATCAGTTCTTTTAATTATGTAAAATTCACTTTAAAAAGACCGTATTGCCGATGTGGGATATAAAACAAATACCTACTTTACTCGGGCAATGTATGATAGTAGCCTAGAGATCACCTCGGCGATGATAGTTTGTACCATTACCCTCGTAGTCGATTAATATTTGCTTACTTTCTTTATATCTTTACATATTTTTTATTCATGAATGACTTTATCACTCTCGTTTGCTTACAAAATACCAACGTGCTCATATTACTTCATATTCCATATGAATACAATATATATTTGACTGTAAGAAGCAAAGCCGTCGATTCTTTTTCATTGTTGGGGATGAATTATCTTAGTTAAAAACGCTTCTTAGGATACACAGCCCAGATATTATCAGAGGCTACTGCGCAAGTACTATTCTGACTGAGGCCCTATATTCGAATCTTATCTCTTTAAAGGGAAAATAACCTTTGAAACAATCATGTGAGAGCACACAATAATGTTAATTTAAAGAAATGAAAAGAAAAATACAGGATCTTACCATAGTACACTTTCACTTCGAGGTATCTGAATGTGAATATTATGTAGGAATCTAAAATAAATACAAACATCTATTTCAATTACCTTCCAGTTGTCTTATAATGGAGATAGTAAATACTGAAGATTTTGCTTTGCTGAAAGCTATCCGCGATGATATGTAGCAGACGTAGATTAGATCTTAAACCAAATCCTTTTCAGCGACCGTGGGCAATTCTAGACAGGGGTTGCAAGAGTACTAAATACTCAAATAACTCGAAACCAGTTTGAGTAAAACTCCGTTTAAATACGAGACGGTTTACCGCGTCATGTCTGAACTGGTCTTCTTTATCATCATCATCATCATCATCATCATCCTCGGTCACTTCTTCAGGGTTGGTTATGTTCTAGAGTAAACTTATTGCACGTGCTTATTGCACGTGCGCAGATTTTGGTCTTGGAATTATGAATATGTTCAATGGCATCCTTCACCAGGCGTGCAATTCCGTTTGATCAATTTGCACCATTGCACGCTGACATCACAAACGATGTACAAAGGATATTGTGAGGTAAGTGACGTCACCGTGCAATGGTACAAAATGGATCAAACGATCATGACGACACAATAATCATAAGCATGGTACGCGCATGGTACGCGCATGGTTTGCTTAAAAATAGTGCACGCTCACTATCGGTAATTTCATCGATAAAAAACCAACAACAAAAAACCCGCTGAGATTTGGACTAGTCTTAGCTTAGAAAAACTGTTCTTTAAACAACAACAAATTGTTTTAAGCACGTTAACGTCCGAGGTGTTGAATAAAACAAATAGTGAATGGTCTTTATTCGTGCAATGGAGCAAGATTTTGCATTCGGTGAGAGATGAGACGCTCTATTCAACTTGGCTGCGGCTCGTTGAATAGAGCGGAGTGTCTCTTATCTTTCACCTCGTGCAAAATCTTGTATTATACAACGCTTACTAAGATTCTTGCAACCTCATTGGTCAATTCTTGATCACATGACATGCGCTAAAAGTACCATTGAACGGCATCATTGACGCGGAGTGCAATTACGTTTGATCCTTTCGCACCATTGCACTCTGACGTCACTAACGATGTACAAAGTATATGGTGAGCTAAGTGACGTCAGAGTGCAATGGTGCGAAAGGATCAAACGAAATTGCACTCCGCGTATTGGTACGCGCGGCGCATGGTACGCGCGTGGTTTGCTGCCTGCTTAATAGTGCGCGCTCACTATCAGCAATTTCATCAATTGAAAAAAGAAAAAAAAAATGCTGAGATTTAGGCCTAGGAAAAGTGTTTTAAGCCCGTTAACGTCCGAGGTGTTGTGTAAAACAAATAGTGAATGGTCTTTATTCGTGCAGTGGAACAATATTTTGCATTCGGTGAAAGATGAGACGCTCCATTCAACTCGGCTGCGCCTCGTTGAATATAGCGTCTCTTATCTTTCACCTCGTGCAAAATCTTGTACCATTGCACTCATGACCATTCACTATTTGTATACTATACAACTTCCAAGAATGTTCTGTAATGTGATTGGTTCAAATCGGGTCACGTGACATTCAGTGGACTGCACTATAGCATCCAAATGTACTATACCTGCACTCGCCAGAGTGCAGGTATAGTGCTTTTGGTATAGCACATCCCCTGCACTCAGAATGAGGTCATCGATGCGAGTGGCAATGAGCGGGCGTGTCAAAGTTTGCGCGAAGTGTACGCACAATGATGCTCGGATAGCATGAAATTGGATAGACTTTGCAACTTTTTTGATCACTTTTTAATTTTAATCAACGGTCAAGACCGAAGCGTGAGGGTGAAGGTTATAATCCAATTCAATTATTTATTCGTTGGCTTTGGGGGGGGGGGGGCAGCTCTGTAGCAGGGGGAATTTGTATAAAACAAACAACGCACGTTTGCTTGTGCATTTGTGGGCCGAAATAATGCAATCGCCACCTGGATATACAGCACTCTGTCCTGTGGACCTCGGTGCGGTATATCCAGGGGCTCTTCTCGCACATCGTGCATTATTTGGCCATGAATGTACTCGATACCGTGCGTTATTTGTATGCCATTGCACTCATGGCCATTCACTATTTGTATAATAACTAGTTATGTAAAGTTGTGATTAAATACCACTTACTTGTGTGCACGGTGAAAAATACACATTTTATCAGAAGCCTATCGACTATGTACAGATTGTAAGGAATCTGATACATGTAAGTAATCAAAAATTGTATGGTCAGATCAGTACGCTACTTGAAAAAAACAAAAACAAAAATATGTATATTATATAGTCTATATAGATACTGATTAGTGATTGGTCAAAGCGCCATCACGTGACTAGAGCTGCAAGGATCTCCAACGTTATATTGCCCGATTGATGTCACAGCGGTCCGTTATATTGGACCGAGGAGCGTCATCACCTACGTCATAGATAGATAGATAGATAGTTTATTGGTTTCCACAATATCTCATTTTACAAAGAGTGTAACAACATATTGAAAATGATTATTTTATACATGTACATACAATACCGGTACACACTATTCAGAATATTGTCCATTAAGTTTATCTTAAGAGATACAGTGGCGGAGCCCATGGAAAAGCAGAGCTTGTTGTGGATAGGCTCCTTAAACTAAACATGACATAATTAACTAAAGTAAAGTATTACATAATTAACTAAAGTAAAGTAGAATGTTGCATAGCTGCCGCACGCGCAATGCGCTGCATGCATACAAAATACTAGCCTGCGCCCAAAAGCCTGCGCCTATACAGCTCCGCGCTTCTTGATTTTAGTATTTTGAATTATTTATTTATTTATTTATTCAGTTTTATTTAAAAACAGGGTAGTCTTTTCAGTGCCAGAGGCCTGCTTTACAAAAGAGCCCTGTACATACAAAGATTTACAAAAAATAGAATACATTGTAGAAAACAAAGACATTATATAAACAACATACCATAAGAGAACTAAAACAACTTAAAAACTAGATCAAAGTTAACATAAGGCCTGAACTATTAAACATTTAAGATATTTTTGATACAATACAAAATACAAATACAAATACACATGCCATAAATGACAGACATAAAATCAAAAGGGTAAAAGGTAAGAAATAAAATTACTACAGACTACACAATTACAAACAAACAAAACAAACAAAACTAACTGTAATAAGTCATGATATAACGTTAGGTACCAGTGCATGCATTAAGGAGGGAGTGATTTAATTTGTTTTATGAACATTTGGAGTGAAGTTGCCGTGCGAATATGAGTCGGTAGATTGTTATAGATGCTTGGAGCGATGAAAGAAAAAAAAAAAATCGTTTTTTAAATTCAGTCTTGGGTTTTGGGATAAATAAGGGATTCAAGGTAGAATGACGAGTAACATAGTAAACTGGACGTTTACAAGCAAAAGGTTCTAAATAATAAGGGGCTAGATTATTGAGTATGTTGTAGACGAAAATGCAGTAGTGGTAGTTGATTCTATTTTCAACACTTTGCCATTGAAGAGTGCTTAAAAGGATGTCTTTTGGGGTTAGATAGTCTGCATTAAGGACTAATCTTGCATATCTGTTCTGCGTCCTCTGTAATTTGAGTAAATCTTTATTTTTGCACTTGCCCCAAACAACTGAACAGTAATCTATATGTGGAAGAATGAGGGAGTAATAAAGATGTTTCAGTAGGCTTTGGTTCCAATAACTCTTAATCCTTCTAGTGCATGCAATAGCCCGATTAATCTAATTAGTCACATTCAATATGTATGGTGTCCAACTTAGACTTTGGTCAAGAGTTACTCCTAAATATTTGATCTCAGTAACATTCTCAAGATAGTCTCGTCCATGACAGATTTTCAAAATTTGGTTCTTAGTTTTATGTTTCGTTCCAAAGACCATCACTTTAGTTTTCTTTGCATTTATTTCCATACTATTTATTTCAAACCATTTACGCAGTAAATCATAATATTTGTGTAGTTTCTTCTGACTGCTTTTTAAATTGTTACCTTTACAAAACAGTGCCGTGTCATCAGCGTACAGAGCAATTTTGGTTTGTTTACTAAATTTTAAGTTACACATCTCATTAAGAAATAAGCAAAAAAATAGGGGGCCCAAAATAGACCCTTGGGGCACACCAGAGTA